CCTTAAGACTTGGTTATTCCAGCTTGCAGGACTGGCCTAGGGCAATTTTTAGAGGGGGTTTTAATTATATTTTAATTAGACTATATTTAAATATTTCCTTTTAATTAATTTTAATCTTGTAATTGTCATTTGTGTATTTTTAATCGATTGTCAGCCGCCCTGAGTCCGCAAGGAGAAGGGCGGGATATAAATTTAATAATAAATAAATAAATAAATAAATAAAGCGTAAGGAAAAATACCTAAATTAATGTTTTCAAAAAATTCTTCTTACATTCAGAGACTTAGCCTACAAGTTGATATACCACGGAAAGCAGACTTATTTATTTTAGAAGCTTAAGAATGACTAAACTGAGTCAGGTGCAAAAGTTAAGCATACAATTTAGAGATTTGTTTCTTAACCAATAGGCTTTTCCCCCCACCAATTTATTTTGTGGGAAGAACGAGAAGCTAATTTTGTGAGTACAATTAAAGTATGGTAAACAGACCTGAAACTCACATGTGCTTTCTTTGATTAACTGATCCCTAGGATTGTGTGAATCTTCAGATGGGAGATTCAGTTTATCTAAGTTTCCGTTGAATCACAGCACAACATAAATCAAAGAAGTCGGTGATGTTCACAGCATGATAGTGTTGTTAATGCAAACCCACACATTTTTGCATAGGTTGTATAATGTTATGTGGGAAAGACCGGGCAAACAGAAATTGTCAAAGGACCAGTTGGATAGCATAGCCCACAACTGGATAGTGGGTGGAGCAAAGGGCTGAGAAGAGACCCCCCCCTAGTTTCTCAGACTGTAAAGAAGATGGGGGGGAATGTAGTTTCATATTTGGAAGATTGATATCAACCTCACAGGATAAACCAGAAAGGAATCATAACCAGATGAACAAATTCAACTTTTTTGTAAAGCTACATTGACAGAATCTTGCAAATCTGAAAGCACAGGTAGTCCTCAATTTACAACCACAACTGAGCCCAAAATTTATGTTGTTAACTGAGACATTTGTTACGTGAATGTTGCCCCATTTCACGACCTTTCTTGCCACAGTTGTTATATGAAACACTGCAGTTGATGAGTTAGTTACACGGTTCTTTTATTTTTATTATTATTGTTTTGTTATTGATTTATCATAGCGAATAAAATGCAAAACAGTAAAACAAACAAACGAAACAAAACAAATGCATACATTCAACCCTAACACAGTTCTTAAATAAACCTGGCTTCCCCCATTGACTTTGCTCATCAAAAGTTTGCAAACGGTGATCCCATGACTTTGGGATGCAGCAACGGTCATAAGCATGGGTCAGTTGCCAAGCATCTGAATTTTGATCACATGATCATGGGGATGCTACAAAGGTCATAAGTGTGAAAAACGGCCATAAATCAATTTTTTCAGTGCTGTTGTAACTTTGAATGGCCACTAAATGAACTATTATAAGTCGAGGACTACCTGTGCAGTATTTTTCTCCCTTGCAAGGCTTCTGTTTTGGCTTGTTTCTTTCTATCCTATCCTCCAAGCCACCAAACCTGAGGCAAGGCTTTCATCACCTCTCCTACTGGCCTTGTGGTGATGTGTATGCAGGCACCATCGATATATTGGTGATCTCTGAACTAATGAGCATAACAGGTTCATGTAGATAAGAGGTCCTCAAACTTGGCCACTTTAAGACTTGTGGACTTCAACTCCCAGAATTCCCCAGCCAGCATGAGGTAGATCTTGAAGAGCAGGTGTAAAGCTAAAAATATTTTACAATTGCCATATTTTAAAAAGACAAATACCTCTAATAAT